TAACTTGATTCTTCTTAGTGCTTTTTCCATCATTTCGAGACTCACTGAATCAAAAGCTTTCTTCATATCCTGAAACAACACCCAAACTTCTTTGTTTTTCTGTCTTGCATCTTCTAAGATATTGTTCATAATATGTATAGGACTTGCTATGCTATCTCCTGATAAGCCTGCATAGTTTAGGCCTTCTAGTATCTTGTGCGTTACAAATATTTGGTCCAATCTTTTACTAATTACTCTTACTACTGTTTTTCGGAAGGCTTCTAGTAAGACGATTGGCCATACATTTGATAGGTCATGATTCCACTTTTCATTTTTTGAAATTGGGTATAGTTGGCCTAACTTCCATTTAAGTGGAGTAATTAAAGTTTTAATTAGATTTATTTTATTTTAGATAAGTATATAATATTAATATTTAAATTTTGTTGTACTAAGGCTGAATTATTTGTAGCATATTTTGTATTTTGGTATCTTATTAATATAAGATAATTATTAAGTATTAACTTTTTTTTATAGTTTAAAGATATGTGACAAGTATAGCATATTAACAAAGTGCTTTTACAGTAATATAATTTTTTTTTTTTAAATTCTAGTATAGAATATAGTTCTTCTAATCTTTTATTTCCAAAACTATTTTCTTTTTATTAAAAAAATTCAAAATTCAAAAAAATAATAAAAATTTTATTTTTTTAAATATTTTAAATATTAATATAGAAATTTATAATGATTTCTAATTTTACAAAAATTTTATCTACTAATTAATTACTAGAGAAATTCTGCAGATTTTGCTTGAACAGATTTTCTGCCTTTTTGCTTAAATAGGCAGAACTATATTAAAATCAGAATTCTATACAGATTTTGCCACTGCAGACCCTGAACACTCTATACTTGATAATAATTTAGCAAAAAAAAAGTAAACATAATTTTACATTGAATTGTGTTCATATGCTATGTTCATATTCCTTTTTAGAGAACTCTTGTGTGTTGGTAGGTACAGGCTATATCGATATTTCGTAATCAAAGATTACTCCCAACTAGGTTTGTAATACAGAGTACTACTTTCAGCTTTTGGCTGAAGAGGTTGGTATTTAATGTTGGTGCGCCCTTGTGTACCGTGTCGTATTGCTACTACAAAGAAGATAGTTCTTTAAGAATAGTCCGTTCAATAACAATTTGTAATAAATATTAATTAATAGAAGTCCCTCGATATAATATTTGTCTTCCAACTGTTCTAAATCTACTGTAAACACGCCCATCTTTCATGTTAGCGGTACTGGCTAAATTGACCAGATTTCCTTAATTGCTCTTCCATACCGTTACACCTGCTCATAATAAATCAAGTAAACATTATAATACATAATACTCTTTTAACTTATCTAAATAAAATTTTATGTTAACGACTCTTGATCTAACTTAGCATCATGTCATCCCATAGCTGTAACACCTGGTCACAAATAACCATTTAATTATTACCAAATTTGTCTTAAATAATAACCTTGTTGGCTCGATTAGTTAAATAGAGCAAGAGTAATCCTACACAACTTACTTATACGGTAAAAATTATTTGATCTTGTGTAGGTGATTAATAGCTCATCAATGTTTAAGATTTTTTTTTTTAAATTTAATAACTAGATAATTTAAACTCTGATACTGACCCAGTAACGTACTCTTTATAAGTACCATAATGCAAAAGGATCAATACCATCACTACATTCCAAGATATATTCTTCGAAATTTTTCTATTAATAATTATGAGAGGATATTTACGAATAATAAAAAACAATCTGTGAGCAATGAAAAACAATTCAGAAAGCAATTTAAAAAGAAGAATAAAGAAGAGGCTCTTCTTCAAGTTTTTGATAGAGCAAAAAATCAATTAAGTGTCTCTTTGGTCAAAAAAACTTATGGAAACGAGAACATGTATAAAGATTTAATCATGAAGATGTGATGCGAGTAGAAATTAAGCTGTCTGATTTAGAAAGGCGAGCATCAAATGTTATCCGCGATATTGTAAATGCATCTCAAAAAGATTGTCAAGTTGTTTTGTCTAGTAATGACCTTGATGATCTACGAAAGTTTCTCTTTATCATGGATTATCGAAAACCTCATCGATTGTCTCAATTTATCAATGAAGATTTTGATAACAATACTAAGCCATTAATGGAAAAATTTTTTAAAAGATTCAAAATTAAAATGCCCTAGGGAAGTGTGGTTACAGAATATATAAAGCAATCTGGTGGAAAAAAGCCTCAGTCAGCTAGCTAGTCTATTTAAACAATAGTGTTTTATTACTGAGTATTGAGTATAGACTGCAAACCTCATTTCTCTCAAAGAATATATGCAGATGTATACAAAGACCCATTTGGACACTAATTAAAAACAAAATA